CACTTGAGAGACAAGGACAGGAGGATCAAGGCCAGCCTGGACTATATGAGATAACTGTCTCAAACACCAGCAGCAAGTCTCAGTGTCTTTGCTAGGCCTCTGATGGTGTTGGGGGCAGGAGGGCTAGTACAAAAAGGAAACATGGTTCTTGAGATGAAGGAACTACAGTCCAAGGGGGAGGGGCATGTTTGCCCTGCAGTGTGGAAGAGATGGGCAGGCTGAGTGCCCCAGAGGGTAGGGACGCCTAAAAGCCCTGGGCTCTACTGGAAATGGCAGAGTAGGCAGAGGAAGGCTAGAGACCCCAGCCCATCTGAGGAGGAGCCATTACAGAGAAAGAGGACTTGGACATACTGCCAGAGAAGGGAAGGGAACAGGGCACTTCTAAGAGGAAGTGGGCCCCAGTGTCAGATGCCAACACTTCCTATGGTTTGGGCATTATGCATGTGGAGAGCATTTGAAGGGGTGCTGGCACACGGTTAAAGGGGGTACATGGTCCGTAGACATGTTCAGTTTGTTCAGCTGGGGAGGGAGGGTCAGGCACAGGAGTTGCCAGAATGAAAAGTGGGATTGAAAGAGGGTTTTGGGGGGTGTCTTCATTTGAAAACCGAGATGGTCTTCAGTGCAGTTGCTATATGGACCAGGGCTAGTGAAGAAGACCTGGTCAGAGGAGCAGGCGTCGGTAGATCCGCAAAAAGCAAGTCTTTCACTCGGCAGCCAGTGGGCTGTGAATGTGAAGGGCTGAGGCGATCTCCTCAGCAATGTCTCTCCTCTCTGAGAAAGAGGCAAGGGGGTGAAGCCGGAGGAACTGGAGGAAGGGACCAAGGGTTAGAGGCCCATCTACAAATGCTGGTGGGGATGTAAAGAAAAAAATCATTTACACATTGTTGCTGGAAATGGAAACTAGTTCAGCCTCTGTGGAAATCAGTGTGGCATGTCCTCAAAAATCTGAAAATAGAACTCCCATGTGGCCCAGCTATAGCACTCTTGGGTGTGTATATGAAGGAATTTAAGACAACATGCAATAGAGATATCTGCAAAGCCATGTGTAGTGCACAGTGGGATAGATTAGGTATCAACAGATGAATAGATAAAGAAGTTATGGTATCTATACATATATATGCATGCATTGGAGTACTGTTCAGTCATAAAGAGAATTTAATGATGTCATTTGAAAAGCACAGATGTAACAGAGAGAGAGCATCAGGTTAAGCAAAATAAGCCAGAGACACACAAGCAAGGCTTGTTTTCTCTGAAGAGGGGCTGGGAGAAGAGTGGGGGGTGGGGCAAGAGAGGGTGGACATATAAAGCACAATGTATGCTTGTATGCAAATATCACAGCTCAGGCCTCTAATCTGTATAATTAATATGCATTAGTAATTGTAATAAAAAACAATGAGCGCTGGGGGTGGTAGCTCATACCTGTACTCTCAGGCCTCAGGAGGCTGAGGCAGGTATATGACTGTGAGTTTGAGGCTAGCCTGGGCTACGGAGTAACTTCCAGGCCAGCTTGAGCTACAGTATGAGCCCCCCCGCCCCCCCCATATCAAACAAAACAAAACAAAGCACGTGAAAAGAAGAAACCAAAGAACTCTGACTCTTAAAAAAAATGACTAAAAAGATTTCAGAAAATAAAATCCAGTCGGGGGGCTGGAGAGATGACTCAGCAGTTAAGATCAGCGCAGAGGACCTGGGTTCGATTTCCAGCACCCACATGGTAGCTAACAACCATCTTAACTGCAGTTCCAGGGGATCTGACACACTCTTCTGACCTCCTCAGGCATTGTACGACACAGGTGCACTTACATACATGCAGGCAATACAGTCATACACATAAATAAAGATAAAATATTTTTAAAAAATACATTCAGGAGGGGCTAGAGAGATGACTCAGCAGTTAAGAGCACTGGTTGTTCTTGCACAAGACTCAAGCTCAAATCCCAGCACCCGCATGGTGGCTATAACCCACAATTGTCTATAACTCCAGTTCCAGGGGATCCGACACCCTCTTCTGTCCTCCAAGGGCACCTCACAACAAGGGCACACTTACATATATGCAGGTAAAACACTCATACACATAAAATAAAAATAAATAAACTTTAAAAATCCAGTCAGTAATAAGAAGGGGAATTCTTTTCTAGTTTCTATAATTGTATCATGGCTGTATAAGGTGTTTACTTTGGGAAGCTGGGTGTAGAGAATGTATAAACACTGTAAGTTTTTTTCAAGTATAAATTAATTTCTAAATGAGATGTTGAAACTTTTGGGCTGGAGAGATGGCTCAGTAGTTAAGAACACTTGCTGATCTTCCAGAGGACCCAGGTTTGATTCCTAGCACCCATATGGCACCTAACAGCAGCCGTCCATGATTACAGGTCCAGGGGATCCAACATTCTCTTCTGGCCTCTTCAGGCTTTGCATGACACAGCTATACTTACACACATGCAGGCAAAACACTCATATGCATAAAATAAAAAGACAGTAAATATTTTTTAAAAAAGAAACTGAAAATTTTAATGAAACACTGTACTACAGTCCTGTGTAAGACAAACATATCTCTGGGCTGAGGTTTGTGACGTTCAGGATTTGTTGGGCTCCGTGGTGCAGTACAGAATTGTGTTTTTAGTGCTGGGGATTGAACCCAGGGCCTTGGGCGTGCTCCAAGTGCCTTACCACTGAGTCACACCTCCAGCCCAAAGTATTATAGCATCTTGTGCAGGGTAGATCCTTGCTACAAATCAGTCTGTTTTGGAAAACACATTTTAAGGAGCATTGTTATGGGTGTGGTAGCACATGCTTATAATTCCAGCACTTGGGAAGCTGAGGCAGGAGGATTGGGAGTTTGAGGCTAGCTTGGTCTACATAGGAGAACCATCCTCAAAAGGAGTGGGTGTGGGGAAGTGGAAAGGAAAGAAACAAGATCATTAGGAGATCGTTGTGTTATAAATATGAGTTAATGCCTTTACAAAGTGTCTCTCTCTATTTTGAACAGGTTTACAAAGGACACAAACCTTTCTACTACTTCTAACCCTCCCCCGCAATTTCTTCTGTAAATCAAAATACCTCAAAATGGAGACCTAAAACCCTTAAAAGGGACTTAGTCTAATCTCGGGAGGTGGTTTTGTGCATGGACAAATTATCATTAAATTGACTTTTTGGACTATTATCTAAAGAGTGTTCATTTAAAGCTAAATATAATTTAATTTGAAGCTAAATGTAAATTTAAATATAATTAGATGATGTGTAATTATTATAATTTGATTTATGGGAGGAAAGGAGAGGCTGCAGTTGAACTAGTCTTTTGAAAGCCTGTTAAGCAATCTCTCATTGGCTACGAGTTAAAAAAAAAAAAAAAAAAAGAACACTGGCTGCTCTTGCAGAGGACCTGGGTTCGAGTCTCAGTGCCCAGATGGTGGCTAGCAATG